GATTCATTTGAAGGTGACCATGAACTCTTATGAGACTCGTGTTTTTCAAAAACATTCGAAAATTAGTGTGCTGCTACAAGAAAGTGTCTCAAAAGAACAGAATAATGAAAAACGAATAGTAAAATCCTTTGGCATTTAAAATCCCCTTTTTTCTCTATGGTCCAAGTTGTTGCATGTTTGAATAATGTTATTGGTAAAATTAATATCAACTTGTTAAAATCAATAAATACCTCATCCACAAAAAATCGATTGCACCATATGACATCTCTACTACCTTCTTGGAATGAGTGTCACTGGTGTCACTGCTCAAGTGAACATGATATGACTCAAGTACACCTCGTTGGATGAATAAATTCTCGGAATAAGCAAAGAAACAACAATAAGCACGTTAATAAATAATTGTATTGTGACCCAGACAGCTTGGAGTCGTTGCGGTTACCCGCTGCGAGAGAATTGTCATTAACATTTATCATATAACCGTGACACCTGAAGGAACGAACCGATTAGCACCATGGTGAGTTCCCCCTGCCCCGTCCCCCTCACCGGAAATATAAATGTCCGGTAATAAATAATACCGATCTGGTGTAACCAGTGTTGTTACCTTCGGATAAAATATGACACAACACCACTTTATCATGACATTTTTATCCCTTCCATAACATGGTTGGTGGGCATTCCAACCAATCTCCAAGACAAGATAGCGAGTTTTTTTCAAAACTTATCTTTTGAAGGGGTCAAGCTAACAAGCTAAAACTCGGGGTAATCAAATTGATGCATGAATACTATATTTCAACGTAAAAAGTCAGTTGAAAGCTGTAAGATGGTGGCTGGGCACCATTGAGAAACATTTTTTTAATAGAACGGTATGTCCTGTAATACCTTATTTTGAAGCTCCTTATGAGTACTTTATAACCTTAGAATACAAAATCACCATCTTTGAAAATGGAGAACTAAAAGGTTGTCAAAGCTGAGCGTTTTTGTATATAGTCGATCATAAGTCAACCACCATTAATCAATAGTTCACATTAAGCTTCTTCTCTTGGAAGACCATGCAATAAAATATGAAACATCTCATTTAAAAAGATGTCAAAATCCGTCATTTTTTTTTAATCTGAATGTCTAATACTGTGTTGCATATTCCGGCAGATCCTTACAAAAGAAGAAGATTGATATATCATAGTATAACATTTTGATGATTAGTTTTGGATTAATAAGCGATTCAATATACAAAACGTTCCGCCATTTTGAAACATAGACGTTTTGTATTTTATAGTTTGAAAGTACTCATAAGAAGCTTCAAAATAAAGTTATCACAAGATCCCTCTTCCACTTGAAAAAATATTATAAGATAGCGCCCTACTCCGTGCGATTCAATCGTTTTTTTCGAGGGGCAAGTATCACCACGCGTTCTTAATTCACAGAAAACTATTCCGTCTAAAATCTAAAAATGTTCTCCTGCTTATATTTCTTTGCCGTTGTGCCATTGATGTTTGATATAGAATGTAATTTCGAACTTACTGATTTCAAAAGTAGTAGGATTGCCCATGTTTGTTTTGAAGCGGATTAAATGTAGTTTGAACGGACTTTAGTTACCCGCACACGTTCGACCATTGTCGAATAATGTACGAAACTGTGCATACGTCTAGCTACAAGTTACGACGACTGGTGGTCGCCACCAGTAGCCTCCTGTGCGGCAGCTCTTTATCGCTAAATAAATAAATAAAAACAAATTTTCCTCGATTTTTCTTCGCCACCTGTTCTACAAGCGAATGTTCATTGGTCCGGCAGATAACCTCGAAAGAAACCAGCTCCGAAGGCGAAACAAGTGAACCACTCGGCCATTTGTAACGGCCGGAGCCAACCGCGCGTGATGTCTGTGGACATGTACCGGATGCCGGAAGGTATATCGTTTCTTGCCGGAGCGGTTAGATAAGGCTTCCGGTGTAAACACCGATGTTCGTCGGCTTGTATTAATGCGTGTCGTCACAGGGATCGGCCCAGCAATGAGAGTGAACTGCGCTCATCAGTATGTTGTATATGGACATCAAAAAAATGTCGCTAAGTAGATTGTATCTGTACCTCCTACACATTTTTATCCTAAATTTTGTGCGCTTTATTTCCAAATAATGTGTCTGGTAAGCCATACTCGACGGTCATCGAGCGGTCGAAGGGGCAAGTTGAGACGTGCTAACCGGTAGCGGTGACGTGATTTAAACATTGCCAACGTTTTGAAATATGTACAACTAATATCTAACAGATGCGTATTACCGGGATCAGTAGCTTCTTAATAATAGAACGTGTTTCACTAATACCAAAGTTGCAATTTTTACAACCCCTATCTCCTACAACCCCCAATTTTCAGTTTTTCCGAAAAAAAGTCTGGGAATGACCAGGGGTCTCAGAATAATTTCCCTTTTAATTTTTTGCCCGTGGCTCCACCACGACTAAATCGATTTCCAAAACCTACAAAGCTGCTTTGTCCTTCATATAGGCCTTGTGTCAGAACTTCATCAAAATACTAACAGTCCTAAGTTATAGAGAGCATGCTAATTCTTGGCCTCTACATATAGACAAACCGACCGATGGAGATAAGTGCGTGTAACAACCAAATATCTCCTTTTTGAAATTTTTCGCGATTACAATACTTCCTCGCCAATGAGCGTGGGAAGTAAAAAGTCCACAATGTTTTTGGAAATCAGATGTTTTCTGGTCAAACCATCAAAAGTACCTAACGGAAATGCCTCTACGGCCCTAGGATCATATCTGCCGCGTTTGCCTAATTTGTTCACCGATCTTTTTGCATACTAGTCAGAGTAAAAATAAGTTTTCTACTTCTCAAGCGCCTTAGATATTTGATCATGTTTAGCAATAATAATTGGAATTAAAAATATGAGGATTTTTTTTTTGTATCCACTCAGCTGAGGCTGCACATACTGTCCGAATTATAACAGCATTGCTTCTTTATACATTTATATGTGCAAATCATAATTATGAATCCTCAAACTTCATCAGATTAAAAATTAGTACAATTGTATGAATTTTGCAATACCACATCACAAAACTTACATACTTGACGAGATATGATCAAGTTATTAATAGTTTTATCCAAATCAAAAATATATTTTTCCAAACGTTACGTATTGTTGGCGTGCGAGCTTTGTCCTAGCATCGTTAGGAGGTGAATCACAATGCATAAACATAATAAAATTATGAGTATTTAAATCAACTTAATGATCTATTTTTTATTCAGCCGGTACAATATGATTCAAGCATTATTTCTATATGAATATTAATCACTGAAATCGCACATATCGTGTTTGAGAGTACAATCAACTCTGCAATTTTACCTATAAACAGATTGAGTTGATTTAAATACCAGTGGGTTAGATCTCCTAAAAGGAAGAATTAAAAAAAATCATGCAAAACCGTATTAAAAATAATAAACGGTATTTTTCATGAAACTTCAAGCTCTTTGAATTTTATTATGCTGATTAGATTTTAACTCATTCTAATTATTTTGTCACCGGATGTGGAAAATTCATCTAGTAGGCAATATTCTTATACAATTTGCATTATATCAACCTGACTAAAAAAATTACCATTAAAAAACGAAATGAAAATGTTAAGTTGCACAAGTAACCCATTCACGCTTTTGACTTTCCAAAATTATACAACATTATATGGGTATTTTTTCCTGAAAAGAGTAAAATGATCTTTAATAAAAGCGTCTTTAACTCTTTTATAACGTTCATGGCTATTGACAAATATTAACCTAATTCCTAATGTGTATCGTATCTGTACGATGTAACAAATATAGAAGTCACTGTTGACTGTTGTCATGTATGCTATACTCCAGCTATGTAATATTCCAGTTAATATGCTGCATATACAGCCTCATACGGAAAAGAACCCAAATGAAATCAAATTAAAGGAAACAGTTTCTTGAGGATGTGGTTATAGTTATCAAAACATTGATAAACTAGTTCTTAACACAGTTTGCGTCACCGAGTCACCTAAAAATACACCGATGTTGATATTTTTTAATCAAATGCATAGAGTACCGCTGAGACTGGAAATATACCAGCCGGATTACGTTTAAAAACTTCATGCACGTGTGAATATTATAAACAGTGCAACACAATACGTAACTTTTGTTCTAAGAGACGATTGAATGACATACATTTTATGCTGACAGAGTCTTAGTTGTGCAGTAGCCATAGATGCGATTAGATGTTGAGAAGTTACAGTTGCTGAGCAAAACGAAACTAAAATAAAAATGCCAAAGTTGCGTGTAGTTATAAGAAGGCGGAGATATTTTACCACCAAGAAGAAGGTATACACATCTTTATTATTTTTATTACTCTAATATTGTACATATTCTTTATGATCCACTCCTGATGATTCGTTGCATAGAATTTTCTCTTTCAAAAAAAAAGAAACAAAAAATCCATTCTCATTTGTAACAATTTCTACGTTCAAGATTTCACCTTCATATCCTACAAATTTCATCACCGTACCATCAACATGGAAATGCGTAATTCGCTAGCATTAAAGTTATGCATGTTGCATAAGAAAACAAGTTTAATGAATAGATCTATGTACACCACGAATCTTTATGACTTTTTTAATCATATTTCAAGGATTTACTGCAGTTTGATTTTTGCAAACTTCGTTAACAGTAGCTTAGAGGTATGATTATAGTTATGCTTTCAATAACGTGTCGGAGGTATAAACAACTTTTAATTCAAGATCAAGATAACGTTCACTTCTCATTTATCATTCAGATTAAATAAAACTCAAAAATTTAATGAATTGACGACTCTTTCAGGTGTCTTACAACTCTACTCTTTTCTTAGAGGACTGGAAGTCCACTTAAAACCCTAAGGATCGACTTAAGTTCCAATATTGAACCTGTTGCATATTGGTGATCTCGTTTTTAATATTATGATTCATATGTTCTAAATACCCATTTGTTACTTAAGTTCGTTTTTTTGTTACAGAACGCTCTGGAACTATCAGCCCCGGCCAGCGACATCCTATTAAAAAGCCGACCCTCACCCCAACAGATCGGCAACTGGTTCCAGCTCAGTGGTCACCCCGACAGTTTGGCACCCGCCGGTCCCGGAACGGTCTGGAAGAAACGATCCACCGGTACCGAAGATGCGGAGAGACGGGTGTACGAGGAAATGTCAAGGGACCCGCAGCTCAGGGACATCGTACCTAGGTACTACAGGGAAGTGGAGTACTTGGGAGAGCGTTTTATCGAACTGCAAGACCTACTACATGGTTTTCAGGTGTGTATTCAGGTTGCTTTGAACAAAAAAGAAGTTTATTTAGTCAATTTTCAAATACTGCAATAAGTATTATGTTAAACAATGACAAATTAATTTTGTCTCCTTAAAAAAATATAATCGTCTTCAAAATAACACTACGTTTTCTAGACATTAAATGCATGTCTGTTGGTTGATTTACGTTTATTTAAGAAAAAATTGATTTCAAGGACATCCAACTTTATTAAATTATTTACGATTGTTTATTTTGTTTCAGGACCCGTACGTGATAGACATCAAACTAGGTACCCGGACGTTCCTAGAGTCAGAAGTAACGAACAAGGTGGCCAGACCAGATCTGTACCAGAAGATGATCGCCATTGACCCTCACGCTCCCACGGAAGAGGAGCACAACCAGCAGGCTGTGACAAAATTGCGATACATGCAGTTTAGGGAGTTGCAATCATCCTCGTGTAGTCAGGGTTTTAGGATAGAAGCGATGAAGTGCCGTGGCTCGCCGCCAGTGACTGATCTCAAAAAGGTTAGAATCCAAATGTAATTTCTAAAAATTCTTACGGCGTTTATAAAAAAGCCAATTTATTGTTCAGTTTTAAAATGCACGTGTATTATGATGTTTTGTTAAAGGATGCAGAGACAGTCAGTAGTAACGCATTTATTCATGAGTTGCGCTTCATTTTCTGCTACATTAAGGGAGAAGGCTCAAGGTTGGGGGCTCATTGACCTCGTATGCTAGTATGTTATAGAACATTAGACCAAAATTTTGATTTAAAAAGAACGATTTTGTTATTAAAAAATCAGCGTTCAAAAGTCATATATCAATTAACTTATCCTCAGTTTACTCGTAATTATGCGAAGGCTAATAAAATAACCTAAGATGCTTGTGCAATAGTAAGAAAACAATGGAGTTTATTTACATAAAACAATATAACAATAATGTTTTGTGTAACTCATTACAGTAATATTTTTCTTATGTTTTGGTTATACATGTTTTACAACTTATCCGACAAATTTTAACAACATATGCACTACGAAAGAAGTTGATTTCTCAAAAAATAAAAATGTAATAAAAGTCCTACAGAAATCGAAATAATAAAATAATACAGTTTAACAGTTCACTTACTTATAAAAACTGTTCAAAATTATTTCCATTGACTGCAATGCAAGCTTGGGCGCCTCTAATCCAATTTCGGCACACTAATTCAAATACACCTCCTTCCTGCTGTGCCTGAAGGCTCAAATTGTCCGCAGCCACTGTGATTCGGTCACGCAATTCTTTAATATTCTGAACTGGAGTACGGTATACCTCGTTTTTCAAGTATCCCCATAAAAAGAAGTTCAGAGGATTTAGATCGGGAGACCGTGGAGGCCATGCAAATGATCCACCCCTTTCGATCCAGCGTATCTGGTATACCTGATTCAGATCATAAGCCGCTCGCGAATTTTGCCCTGCTTCTCCGTACGCTAAAACAGTGTCTAACTCCTCATTAGTGTACACATGTGCCATTTTTATTAATAAATAACTAAAAACAAACTCGCAAAATACATTCTTTTTTAACTTCACAAAAATCGACCGTTCTTCATTCAGATCACCCACGATATAGATTAAACCTTATTTACACGTTCTTAACAGTAGAAAAAAACAAAAAAATCCTGGTATTTTGTTTTCGTCAATTGTTTGGTACAACATTTGCTACAATAAATTATTAATGCGTATTCTAATATCACGACGAGATGAACGCAAAATACAGATATTTATTTTTCAATTTATTATTGAAACTCAGGTTTATAACTTAATTTCTGTAGGACTTTTATTACATTTTTTTTTTGAAAAATCAACTTCTTTCGTAACAGTGCATATGTGGTTAAAATTTGTCGGATAAGTTGTGAAACACCCTGTATTGGAGTCATTACTTTTATATTGTTTCTCAAATAAATATGCTCGATGAATTATTGAGTATACATAGCGCGTTTCCTGTGAACACTTTTTTCTTTGCCTAACAGTTTTGATTCGTATAGTTCATTTTTATGAATAATCATTTTTATTTCTTTCTACAAACGTTTACATTGATTGGAAACTATTTATGTGTCTAGTGAGTTGATATTCTTAATAACCAGATCATTTTCATTTGACGCCACTACCTGACTTTCTATTGGTTGGAGGACAGACACTAATGGCTTGCTATTTAGTTCAATGTAAATTAGCTCCACTATTGTCGCTGATATTTTAAATCCTCGATGTAAGTAGTGGGGCATATGTTGGAAATTGCTACCGTTGTGTAGTTATTTGTGACAAACTATTGAAACGCCTTCGTTTATGCGGTGGTGAATTTTATAATGATCGCACAATGGAAGACATTTGAATAGTTCTTTACGGATAACTGAATAACTTAAGTGGAGCTAATTTACAATAAACCAAATGGCAATCCATTTGTGTTTGTAGTCCAACCAGTAGGAGGACCGACATAGTCACGTGTCTGAAAATGATCTATAGAACGGATCATCATGCAGTGTGTATGAATGCATTCTCGTTTACATTATAGCCCTCATTGAAATCTGACCAACGCATCTCCTTGTCGCAGGTGAAATCCCGCGAGGACGTACTGAACACCTTAGACACCTTCCTCGGTGGTAGAGAGGACGTTCGGCAACGCCTCCTATCCAGGCTGTGCGAAATCAGGAGCAAGATTGAACAGTCGGAGTATTTCAAGACCGTGGAGGTGATTGGTAGCAGTCTGTTTATCATCTACGACGATGCCAAAGTTGGAGTATGGCTAATCGACTTCGCCAAGACGAACAAGTTGCCGGAAGGCGTGACTGTCAACCATCGGTCCCCTTGGGTACAAGGAAACCATGAGGAAGGGCTGCTTTTTGGATTCGATAGACTTATTTCTGTAAGTATTACCGTCACATAACCATACGGTAACCCTCTCGAGATGTCTTCTATTCTCAATTTAATGATAAACAAAAAAATAATTCTAATTCTAAAAATGCTATTATTTATATTCAGAAGCTTCCATCAAGAATAATGAATGAGAAGCTCTAAAGTGCGCAAGTTTATCAAAAAGTTCCAGGACTAGCTCTGTAACTTAACAACAAATGACAGCTCGAGGTTGTGCCTGCTCTATAAATCAGCTGATAACCTCACAAAGTAGGGTGTGTTTCAACCACAACGGTGATCTTCAGTACAATAACATATATTGGATTTATCTGTCAAGATAAGCTTGTATAACAGAGAAATCAAAGGCCTACACAATTAGTCCATACATCATTTCCTTGCTCTACCGGTAGTCCATGTGACAACGTCGCCTTTCCCCGCTACCTAACGGCACAACGCTTCACACGCGGCATCACAGCAGTAAGGCCAAAACACTTGCCAAGACCGGTACGTTCGCCGACGCTCCCAGGCAGCACAAGCAGTGACACATATCTATCGTTCTCAGGTCCGGACTGGGACCGTTTGGGGCCCTCAGCTAAAACCTGTAAAGCAGCCCTCTTCCTGGGGGGTGTAGAAATTTTTTGAAAACTAGGTGCTTGAAAACCTGTTTTTACACTAATTTTGCACTTATAAAGAAGGAAAAATTCAGCTAGGTTTTTAAACGAACATTATGATTTTCGACTTTTGTTGATTTTATTATTAATTTATTAAAATAAGAAATTCACAGTATTTTTAGGATACCGCAACACTACAAAACACATGCAGTAGAACTGCCAATAATTACAACGGAGTTGCAGCATTTTATCACATCAAAGTATAATGAATTATGACAAAATTATTTGTGTAATGCGGAATGGAATTTTAAGGATTATAAAAACACAGAACAAATTGTTCCAAGACAGACGTGTAAGTAGTCAAAGCAGATCGGAACATTTTGTTTCGAAATAAAATGTTTCGATCTGTCTGCGGCCGGCTTTACACCACAACAACGTACGTCAACTCACAACACACAGTAACTCGTATAAGGCTTTCGCATAAACGGCGAGATATAAACAGTTGTTGGACGTGTTCTACTTATGAAAATGTAAACAAAACATTACCGAGAACACAAAATAACTTCTAACAAGACAAAAACTTTTTTTAGAGAAATATATGGTGTATGAAATATGTCTAATAGATGCGTAGAACTACCGAGGCTGGGAGCATATAAATATGCTGAAATTAAAAACATTGAGATGACACTCCCCCACCCCACAATTTTATACCCATAAGTTTTTTTCAAAATTGATCAGGATAACCTCAAATATTGCTTGATGATCCATAGCATCTACATAGCAGTTTTTAAAAAATTCCTAACAACATGCTTTTCTTTTGTTACAGATAATAGAAAGTATAAAAAATCAACCTCAGTCGAATGAGAAAGACCAGTTCACTAAACCTGTGCCAGCCGTCAGCGTGAGATCTTGAACAACCGTGCTGTCAGTGTTGGAAAAGTCTATTCCCCTGATGGGAACGACAAATATTTATAGTCTGACAGATTGATGGAAAATTGAGTGAAGTGCGAAAGGCGATATGGCCAAAATGTATTCTTTGAAATGGTATTTTCAGGAGAAAATAGACATTTGCACAGTTTATGTACTTATTCCAGTGAAATACGTCATTTGTATTCTCACTTGTAACTGTTTGTATTTTCACTGTCAAAAAAGTATGAATTGCTCTTTAAGCGTAATCATTCATTAACATGTTATTCTACCTAAAGTTACCTAACCATTTACTGTATTTCGGCGTCCAAAAAATTATCCGAGATAAAATGAAATGGCGTCGTCTGTGAGAATTTGACACAACTATGTTTCTCCTAATGCAACATCTGAAACTTATCCTCCATGTCGGTAGCCTCCCATATTTTCCTGGCCAATCGAAAAAATCTTTATTGTAAACGTTTCGGTCACAAGGGTGACCTTCAATTCAATGACTTTGACAATATATGTCTTTATCCGACTTCCAGGCGACACTTCATTTGTTTTTCATTTTGATATTCCTGTTCAATGTATTATTACAATAGTGTGAAAGGCCTCGTACATACTGAGATTGCACGAAGCCATCATCCCATAAACAATGCATTTGCAACAATTTAGTTAATTGCATAACACTTCACAGGTGTGTTACGACAACAGCCCTGGGTGGGCTTCGCACAATCTCATCTTGCTACGGGACTTTTCACGCTATTGTAATAACACACGGTATAGGAATGTGAAAATAAAAAAATGAAGAGTCGTTAGAAGACAGACAAATAAAGTATATTGTCAGTCATTGTAGTGAAGAAGGTAACTGTTCTGACTGAAATGTTTACAATAAAGAAAATTTTGTCAACACATGTGGCCAGAGAAATATGGGAGATTATATTTTTTTCCTCTGCTCTAATTCGAAGTCTGCTTTGAAAAGGTGAATAGTTGTGACAAATTCTCAAACATGACGCTACGGTATCTCATTTCATCTTGGATAATTTTTTGGTCCATGGTGGCTATCTTCACTTAGAATGCGGTAATCAATGGTGTAATTGGCTTATCATCGCACATAGACGATATTTGATATTCAAAATTTTCTCAATGATGAAAATGTATACGTATTGGTTGATTTTCTTATAGAAGTTAATCATGAATTGTTTGAAATGTGAATTACCTTAGCACTGCTCAAACAGTTATGAATTATATTCAATTGATGAAATTCATCAATTTCTACAGTGATTTTAATACTGACTTTTGTGTATAAAATTATTTCTGATAATTGACTGTGTATCAAAATAAATGAGTTTGTGGTTGTTTACTTGTATGTTAAATTAGACTGCCATATTTGCCTTATATGTATCCAAAATTTGACATTGACTTTTTTTAATTAAGTACTTTACAGAAAATGACAACCATAAACTTCATATAATTCTTGTGAAATCCCCGAACTTGTCCTGAAAATGTATCCCTAAGTTTTTCTAATTAACAAAGTATTATTGATTTGAGTGATTCTATGTGTATATAACTTATTATTGTTGTCTAGTCACTTGTTTAGGTATTATTTATATTATGATTTAGAATCATTGTTAAGAGAGTTACCACCCAATGCAATGTTGTATATACGTGTAAATAATTTTGTACCTTTAAATTATGTTTCATTTTTGAATTATTTAAGTACTTATGACAAAATATATTTCCATGTGTGAATTTATTCCTGGTGTTTTATTTTCATCCACTGGATAATACTCCAACTTCCGTGATAATTGCAAATCGCTTGGGATATACGAGGGAGTACCCAAAAAAACCGTCATTATTTTTTAAAAGCTATTTATTTTCAACTTTTCCACAAAGTAACCTTATCTCCTTCAAAATACTGTCCACTACAACTAATACACTTGTCCCATCGGTACTTCCACTGCTCGAAACATTTTTTGCAGTCTTGCTTAGAAATGTCTAGACAGCTCCTCCATAGTTTTTTCTTGACCTCTTCAATGTCGTCAAAGCGGCGTCCTTTCATGCCCCTTTTCATCCGTGGAAATAAGAAAAAGTCGCACTGAGCCGGGTCAGGAGAATAAGGTGCGTGAGACAGCGGAACCATGCCATTTTTAGCCAGATACTGTTGAACAGAGATGGCTGTGTGAGCAGGTGCATTATCGTGGTGGAATAACCAGTCTCCTGACTGCCACAAATCGGGTCTTTTTTGCCGAACACTGTTTCGCAATCGTCTTAAAACCTCCAAATAGGGCAAGCTCTCTAATTTTTTCAAAATTTTCGTCGATTCGGGCAGTTGATGGACGTACAGAGCGAGGTTTGTCATCAATCGACATGTGGCCATTTTTAAATCGAGCAAACAACTCGTAAACCTGAGTTTTTCCCATCATCTCTGTAAGCTATTTTCAACATTAAAACAGTTTCTGCAGCATTTTTACTAATTAGAAAGTAGAATTTCACAGCTGCACGTTGCTCATTGAAGCTTGCCATCGTAAAAAACAAAACAAGCACGAAACAGCTCTAGCAAAAAGAATGACTACAGAGGAACGAAACAAGCCAGATCGACAACTCAGGTGGCACTGAACTAGTAATGAGTTGCGCTGTACGCCTCTAGGGGCAGAAATGTGTACTACACAAGCTCCGCCCACTGCAATGCTGTTCCTGTTATTTTTGGGTACCTTCTCAAACATTATGTACTTGGTATATCTGTTATCGGTACCAACGTCAATGCGGGTGTTCCCCAGTGATCAGTCTTGGCTCCGAAACTGTTTCTCTTACATATCAACGACCTCCTTTCCTGCACGATCAACCCAATCCACAGCTTCGCTGATGCAATCTACATGCAGGAATTTAGAGTGACAAACCGGACGCTGAGCTGGAAAAAAGAAGACTAGCGACGACTTCCTCTCTGACAAGAGACTGGAGGTTATCACTGCTTGTACAGTTCAATGCTTCCAAAACACAGTACTGTACTTTGACAAACAAAAGGCGTCCTAGCGCTCATCCGGTTTCGATGGATGGCCGAGTTCTGCCAAAGAGTCATTCATTTCGACTGATCTGAGTCCAGATTGCCGAGGACCTGTTCTGGCACGAACACATTTAGTCAATAGCTGCAGCTGCTGGGAAAAAGCTAGGCTATTTGTTTAGGGCCAAGAAGTAGTTTTCTCCGCATGACCTTCTCACTCTATACGAGGCCCAGATAAGGCCTAGCCTAGAGTATTGCTCACACGTTTGGGGTGCTGCCGCCCAGACTACATTATCCATGCTCGATGCTGTCCAGAGGAGGGCGGTCCGACTGATCGATTACTCTTCTCTAACAGACACTCTCGGGTCTCTTTCGCACCGGCGGGCCTTCGGCATTCTAGCTCTTTTCTACCGCTAGACCAACGGGCTTTGCTCGTCAGAGCTCTCTTTCATGATGCCGCCGCGCGATGTGCATGCCAGACAGATCCGCCTGACTTTGGCGTCCCATCCTAACCGTGTCGAACTTCGTACATCCAGAACTGGCCGATACGATCGCTCCTTTCTCCCGAGGGTGTCGAGATTGTGGAACAATCTACTAGAGGAAGCTTTTCCCAGTTCCACTAACCTTGAGCAGTTCAAAAATCGTATTAACAAAATTTCTTTGGGATCATCATAGCAGCCGCGGTGTTCCGGCATTTAGACTTCTGTCTGCGCGGCTGCTTCGATATAAAAAAATCTGTATAATTCAGGTATTCTATACAATACCTAGGCAAAGTATAGAATACCTGAGTAGCCTAGACATTGTATGAAATATTATGAATATTATTATCCATTACATACTTTACCTAGGTAATGAATACAATTCCTAGGGACTGTATAGAGTGCCTGCTGTTCCACCGGCAACATGTAAAATAAATAGATCGTGGTCTAAATTTATCAATGTTAACCGGCATACACATAAAATAACGGGCAAATGAAACAAGTTATATTATTTAAAATTAACAATTAGAGTGCTCCTTAAAAATAAGCTTTATGAAAAGGGTACATGATGAACCTATTGTGACATTTTGAAGTGCACAAAATCTTTCTTTAAAGAACACATTATCGTAGTATTTTTTGCAATTGCGACTTTTACATACATTACCGGCTGCGCATTCGGTATTGTATAGAATACCTAGGCAAAGTATAAAACAAGTAATATTTCATACATTACCTACACGTTTTAGGTATTCTATACATTATCTAGGTATTGTATAGAATAGCGGATTATACAGATTGCCGGTAACATATCCATAGTTAATAACATCAGGTATCTCCGCATAGAATAGTATTGCTTTCGTAGCTTTGAGGAATCCCTGTTCAACCTAAAACCTACTCGTATACCCCATTCGTAGTACCAATGGTTTGCAGTCACTCATCTGTTGACAGCTTCGTAAAACAAATTATTCACGTCATAACGTTTGGATGTTCTATTGTTTGAAGCCACATAGTTTTTTGTATTTGCCCAAATCATTTCAATGAGATTTAATTAACAGTGATAAGGGGGTAGCCTTAAAACGGTGTTATTTTGATTATTAGTTATTTCGACAATTACATTAAGATTATATTTATATTTGTGCTGTCTGAGACTAGATTCTGCTTTTACAATATTTTCACTGAAACTAATGTCTTTTGATAGGAGTCATTGTTGAATTTTTGCCTTTCTTGTGGACATTGTGGGAATTTTCTCTAGTGTGCTACGCAGCAAAGCCATCTTCACTGCCAATGTGACAGATAAAAAATCGTTTTCCTTTTCCTGGAAATAATTATTTCATATAGTATTCCAGAAAACTAATAATATACAAACAGAGTATCTAACAGGTGTTGGTTCCAAATCTACCAGATATAGCTAAGTTAGTGTAGCTAAGCTTTCAGCTTGGGCTCATAGATTCAGTCTACTTGACACCATTTTCACAACACAAATGACGAATTGGTTAGATACACGTACCTGACGAAGTCTTTAGGCCAGTCGTTAGTCCATCTAAGAAGGCTTGTCTTGCTGATTTAATACTATACTCAAAATAAAGTTCTTTGAGTAAACTAAATAATGTGGTCCTTTTGAAAGTAGGTAAGTCTTCATCACTATTAACCTCCTGTAATAGGTACTTTGTCTATGGTGGGAAGTTCCTGCCTTTCAAAAAATTGATGGACATACCGTCTGATGGCATTCCGATCAAAGTTATCAACTGTATCCAACAGCTTCGTATAATGCAGCCTCTTGTGTGGTGGAGGCAATACAAACTATAGAATGTGGTCCTTTCGAAAGTAGGTAAGTCTTCATCACTATTAACCTCCTGTAATACTTTGTCTATGGTGGGAAGTTCCTGCCTTTCAAAAAATTGATGGACTTTGCGTACTGTTGGCATTCCGATCAAAGTTATCAACTGTATAAAACAGCTTCGTATAATGCAGCCTCTTGTGTGGTGGAGATGATTTTTTGTTTTTTATATTCAACAATGTTGAAAATTGTCTTAGGACGTAAGTCTGTTTTGTTCGCCACACGTCTTTCAATATCATGAATTTTAATTTCAGGATGGTCTAAAATTTCGCTCTTATAGACGTTAAGGACAATTTCTTCTGCCTGAATATTCAAATGTCCCGTCTTGTCACGTTTTCGGGGAGGAGATATCACTGAAGAGGAAGCATGGCTGAAGGAACCATTGGGAGAAATATTCTCAGTTTCATCTGCTGTATACGTAGATTTCATTCTAACGTATAAACACACGCTATATATGCACCGATTAAGAACAGCAACTGCCGGCGTCGGCGTGCCGACGATACCCCAAGCCTGAGTTCTATCCTGTCGAATCCTGCCTTATTCGTAGTTTAGCCAAATGACCAATAGCTATTTCGACGCTTCGGCTGTCGCTTTGCCGCGCTGCATCTTTGTTGTGCCGGGGCGTAAATATATTACGAATATACCAAGCTCATAATATGCTAAAAACCACGAAACAGCTGTCCATGGTTGGTTGTCTGCTCGGACGAACCAAAGCAGCATGTCCTACGTCTCCATCTAGCAATCAGTGTTATGTGTTCTACTGTGCCACTCGATCATGCTAGGACACTTAATAAGAGCGACACGCCCGCCGGACTGAGAACGCAGACTTAGATACGTGTATCGAAAACATTTTTTTATCGTAGTTTCAAGGGCAAATGTACGGGGAAATCTATGATGTGTGAAATATATTCAAAAGGTGCGTAGAATTGCCGAGGTTGGGAGCGTATAAATTTACTAACATCAAAAAATTGAGATATACTCTTCCCCACCCCTTATTGCGACATCCAATCTTTAACCCTCAGGGAAATGTTTCTAAAATGATCAGATAATACCTTAGGAAACGTCAAAAGACGAAGTTTGAGCGAACTTTTTTCTTTTTGGGCGTTTTTCTCCGCCACCACTGGACCGATTTTCAAAAAACAAAGCTTTTTTCTCCTTCACATAGTGGCAGGTTCGTTTAAACATTTCTTCTAAATTCAAACAGTACTTTCCAAGTTACAGACGGGCCAAGGATTAGCAGACACACCAACGAAAATGAATAACCTGGTTTCCGTAATTTTTTTATACATGTCATTATACATCCAAAAAACGTCTCATTTTCAAATATTTTCTTGATTACAGTATTTATTCCTCACCTGTGCTTGGGAAGTAAGAACGTATACCGGGCTATATTTCAAAGGTTCCGATTGAAAGGACTCTCTCTATCTCACACCCGCCTCACCATTTTCTTCAGTTAGATTGTTGAGGTCGGTAGGCTGAGCTTCATTGGCTAAGATAGATATTAGGCCCGTGTTATCTCGGCAGGCCTGAACGTCGGGTTGGGTGGGTGAAGCCAACATCAACATTTTTTCAGTAGTGTGAGATTTAAATTGCGCCCCTTTAAAACACCTCCTTGAGTCGGCGCGCGAATTCAGCAAAAAATAACTTAAGCTTATCGGGAAAAAATGTTTTTTTCACCGCGGGCGAAACAAGCGTTCAAGTCTCGTGGCGTCTGAGCCCGATGAGCGATGCCCTCTGTCTACTTTTCATCTTAAAAAAATATTTTGAATATCTGCTTGGCCGTACTTTGTAATACACAAATCAAAAACCGGTAAATAGATGGTTCCGTAGTGTAGCGGTTATCACGTCTGCTTTACACGCAGAAGGTCCCCGGTTCGATCCCGGGCGGAACCACTTTTTTTGCTTGGACTAATATTTTTTTCATTATTATAGATTCAGAAAGCAATGGAATCTATTTTACGGATAACTTAGTAAAACCTAACTGGTCTAAAAACTGTCAAAATCTTCAAAAACACGAACCAACTCATAGCAATGGAGCGATGTTTCCCCATCTCTATCCGACTCAGTGTATTTGACAGATGTCAATTTGACAGGGTTGTCAATTTGTCATTTACCGTTATCATATTGTCATTAACAGCTGATGTTTGGAATGAATTTTGGAATCCAAATGTGATATTTCTGATAATATTGCTAAAGATTTGAAGCTTCCTGAAATATTGCAGGCGTATAAAGCTCCAACATGTCGGAACTACTAAAAGTAGGCAGAAGGGTCGAAGTCTCAGGCAAGGGGGTACAAGGTATAATAGCTTACATAGGAAAAACCAACTTTGCCCAAGGAAGCTGGATAGGTATTATCCTAGATGAACCCAAAGGAAAGAATAATGGTACAGTTGGTGGACATGAGTATTTTAAGGTAATACTTCATTTTATACATGTGAAGAATGACATTGAACAGTAACTTTTTTCTTGTATATCAGTGTGATGAGAACTATGGAACATTTGTCAAAGAACAACATGTTGTACCACTGGATGATAATGGAAAGCCTATTGAAAAAGCAGCCAAGGAACCACCACCATCTAAGATAGCAAGAAGTAGACAGTCTATGTAAGTTAAACTTTCATACTAATTTGTCTTATTGTAATTGTATTGTAACATGGACTATTTTAATGTGTGTTAATATCATCTTTTATGCAAAACAGGCCTGGAACGAAACCAAAGCCCACAACGTAAGTAAGATATCCAAAAATGTTGCCTGAAATGCACTGTAAATAAACTGTACTAAGCACTAACATGAGCATATCTTACCTTACATGCTGCTTTGGCTAGTATCAGGAGAAAAACCTCACCACAAAAAAGACCTCCTTCTCTTTCTGCCTCAAGGTACTTGTATTGCTGAAATATAAATAATAAACTAACCACAAATGAATAAACTTAATTTGAAACTTCCTGTAGTATCTAAGAATGAATGCAGCTAGCAATATTTCTTTTGAGTTATGCTTGTTTCATTTATTTTTTATGTATTGCTTTAGTAAATTACCCTGGTTCAAGCAAATTTACTACTTTAGGTAAATAATGTTGATTTCCATTATGCTTATTTTGCAGAAGAAGAAAGTAAACTAATATATACCTCAAAACAACTAGAAATTTGTTAGAAGATCCAAGAAAGCTTACCCAATACATCTCCATTGTAGCATCCAAATTCCATTACTAGGCTAAACTACCTCCTAGTTCACCCATACATAGTTGCTTGTTACTAACAACAACATTGAAAACAATGGTAATATAGGCTTTCATCAAGACCTAATACAAATGGAATATCTACTCAATCAACTTTCATACCTAATAGCTGATAGTAATGTGTAAAGTCTTAATAGTTTGCCAGATCTGTTCTAACTCCTGTCACTGTCTAGGTAACAGCTTAGTAGCCTGTGTTCCCTGGAGACTCAATAGGTACCTAAGCACATGCTGGCTAGAGTAACATTTCCTTCCTTCTTTCTTGTCCCTGACTTTTCTGGTATCTGGGTAGCCAGACAACTTGCTGACCTACAAAACTTTAATGGAGATCAAGGTTTCTCCTGACTTTACTGTGAAATACACCTTGTTCAACAATGGGTCTTAGTGATATATTTTCTTAATCATATGATGCTCCTCTTATTTTGTTCAACCCATGAAACCTGTTTTTCATTTAGAAAAAAATATTCTTTCTTAGCAACAGAAAACAAAAAGAGGACAGACAGTCATACTAAACTGTAAATCTTCAGGATGATAGAGGTGATTGAATATTTTCTGTCCCAGGGGTTGGAATCATCATTCACAAGACAGATCATGGATAAAATTATATGTTTGTAATAGTATCCAGTTATATTTTTTTGGCCCTAATGTACATATGCAATTTGTCATACTTATGTTCTTAAGCTCATAAGCAACTTTCAGTCGCTTTTGGTTGGATTCTTTTTTGTACCTAACTATAATAACATTGATTTTTTCCACATATGATAGCTCCAGGATGTCATTGGCAAGCAGTCGTCAATCTTTAGTTGGAAGTAGGCAGTCTTTGTCAGGCAGCCGGCAGTCTCTGAGTGGTAGTAGGAGTCATCTTGCATCGCCATCAATTGAAAAACTAAATGTAGAACAACCTGAAGCAGCTCCATCAGTTTTAAAAAGAGCTTCTTTTGTAGAGGTGAGATTTGGATTCCTTTCACATTTCGTTTCACTAAGCATTTGTGTTGTCCCATGGTATATAAATGTATATCATCTCAAACCATTGTTATTTTCAGACTGGCTTTGTGGAGACATTGAAGCCACAGTTCACCCCTGGTCAGTCTCTTACTACCCCTACACCCATTACTTCAGTTGAGGAAAAGATTTCCAATTTGCAATTGCAACAAGAATTGGAGAATAGAAGTCAGCAGATCAAAGATCTTTCAGAAAAGTTGGAAACACTCAAACTGAAGAGACAAGACGACAAAGAAAAACTCAAGGATTATGACAAGTTGAAGATACAGGTAGTATTTTGCCTTGATATTTCTAGTATAACTTTGATTTGTAAGAAAACCTTATACCTACTATAACCATACCTACAGTGCTTTTCAGAAAGATTCACTGCCTGCTTATTTTTTGAATGGGTCAAGTGAAAATAACAGCTAAAAATTTTAAAAAGGACATTGGGTGACATCGTGTAACATTTTTTTTAAATTGAATGCGGGGTCTTGTGATACTTTATTTTAAAGCTCCTTATAAGTACTTCATCAAAAAATTGACAGATTTTGGATTTTTTCTATCTAATACTCTATACTCTAGACTTATAAAGTACTCATAAAGAGCTTCAAAATGAAGTATCACACAGTCCTCCATTCTATTGAAAAAATGTTCCAAAATGGCGCTCAGCCGCCGAAATTTCAACTGCCTCTTTCACGCTAAAATATGCATTAATTGCATTATCCCGAATTTCAGCTTGCTAGCTTCACCCATTCAAAATATAAGTATGGTGGGGGTTTTTGAAAAGCACTGTAAATTTTCAGTACGATCTTCAAGTATTTTGTGAATCTAGAACTATTTTTCAGTTGGAGCAACTAATTGAGTTCAAATCAAAGATAATGAGTACTCAGGCCAGCCTCCAAAGAGATATTCAGAAGGCAAAACAGGAAGCAAAGGAGGCCATTGAAGCCAAAGAGGCTCATGCAGAAGAGGTTGCAGATTTAGCAGAGGCTGTAGAAATGGCAACTTTGGACAGAGAGATGGCTGAAGAAAAAGCAGAATCGCTACAATTAGAACTGGAAATGTGCAAGGAAAAGTTGGAAGAGGTGACACTAGATTTGGAAATTTTGAAAGCTGAAATGCAGGAAAAAGGTGAAATAGCATATACAAGTATTGTTTAGTCCTTTGCGACCATCTTTTTATTATGAGAATGTTCATTTTATATTAAAGATATACTGAATATGTACTAGTTAATATTAAATGAGCCTACAAATATTATGCAGTATTTTATCACCAGCATTACACAGCTGGTCAACATAGGTACAACACTGGTTTTATGTTGCCTGCCTAATGAATAAATTCGTCCTTTGACATAACACCCTTTCCATCAGGTTCAATTATTCAAATTTACTATAAGATTATTGGACATTGTCAGAATCATTCGGCAACATTTTTTTCAGGCGGCACCTCAGCGTCTGGCGAAGGTCAAGTATCGGCTTATGAAATGAAGCAACTTCAACAACAAAATGCGCGATTGAGAGAAACGCTTGTAAGACTCAGAGATCTCTCTGCCCATGATAAACACGAGTATCAGAAATTGCTGAAAGATGTTGATCAGAAGAAATCTGAGATTACAGAGCTTGGAAAGACAAAAGAAAAACTCAGTGCTAGGGTGGAAGAAATGGAACAGCAGATTGCTGACTTACAAGAACAGGTAATATTTCTTCAAACATCGTAGTTTTCTACGACTTAACGCTGACACTAATATAACGGGTGATTTGTTAAGAGGTATAGGGTTTGATTTTCAAAAAAACAAAAAATTTGAAAAAACGATTAAATCTTTATTTGAGTCGATAGAACGGTTGATATAATTTAATGTTTAAAGATTATTTCATGTAAATGTTGGCCGCGGCTCCGCTTTAGATTGCCCATGCGCAAGTTCCAATTTTGGCACACTCTCCAACATATCGGCCGGTGCGGTGCGGTGTAGCATGTGGCACCGTCTTGTTGAAACCACATGTCAGCCAAGTCCAGCTCTTCCATTTTGGGCAAAAAAAAGTTTGTTATCATCGCACGGTAGCGCTCGCCATTCACAGTTACGTTCCGGCCATTGTCGTCTTTGAAGAAGTACAGCCCGATGATGCCACCGGCCCATAATCCACACCAAACAGTGATTTTTTCGGGATCATTGGTAGCTCTTGCAATGCTTCTGGCTGGTCTTCACTCCAGATGCGGCAATTTTGCTTGTTAACGTACCCATTCAACCAGAAATGAGCTTCGTCGCTGAACACAATTTTTCGATGAAAATGTGGATCTTCCTCCAACTTTGCCAGCGCCCATTCACCAAATGGGAAACGTTGTGGGAGGTCGTGTGGCTTCAATTCTTGCACCAGCTGTATCTTATAAGGTTTTACACCCAAATCCTGTCGCAAAATTTTCCACGTAGTGGAGTAACAGAGGCCCAATTGCTGCGAACGGCGGCGAATCGACATTTCACGGTCATCACTAACACTGGCGGATACCGCCGCAATATTTTCTTCAGTCCTCACTCTACGTCTGCGTTTGGTGGTTTAATGTCCAATAATGTAAACTGGGTTCGAAATTTAGTCACAAGTTTCCGAATAGCTCCCTCAGTAGGCCGACGAAATTGCCCATAAATTGGAAGCAGTGCTCGATGCACTCTCTTAACCGAGCATGAATTTTGATAGTAAAATTCAATAATTTGCAAGCGTTGTTCGTTCGTAAGTCGATTCATGTTTAAATTATAGACCAAACTGAACAAGCAAAATAATCACCCATTATAAGAAAACAAGGTATCACAATACATGGTTCCCATTCAAAAATAAGTACAGGAGGGGCCTTTCTGAAAAGCACTGTATAATAAATACTTTTGTATATGTTTATAGGTAGATGCTGCTTTAGGTGCAGAAGAAATGGTGGTTATATTAGGTGAGCAAAAACTCACTCTGGAAGAAAAAGTAGCACAACTACAGGATGAGGTAGCTGAATTAGAAGCATTACAAGATATGAATGACCAGTTAGTGGAAAGTAATGCTGAACTTGAGGCCGATTTACGTGAAGAGCTCGATATGGCTCACGCGGCTACGCGAGAGGTATATCGTATTATACTAAAATTATAATCATGTCCACTAACAAAATCATTTTCAGGCGCTCAGAGATAGAGACGCGGCATTGGAAACCATTGCTGATCGTGAGCAGACAATCAGCAAATTCAGGAATCTAGTGCATCAGCTACAAGAACAATCTTTAGAATTGCAGAAGAGATTAGAAAAGGAAACTAGCCGTCCTGTATCTGCACTTCCTGAAATTGCAGACTTCAAGAAAATGTTTGCTGAAACTAAAGCGCACACCAAAGCTGTGGATCTTGAGTTGAGAAGGGTTGAAGCTCAACAACTCCAACACCATATCAAATATCTTACAGCGTTTATGCCCGAATCATTTATGACAAGAGGAGGTACAGAATTATCATTTAAAAAATGGGGGATTTTGTAAATGTGAAGTAATATGGCCGTTTTTATGTCATTGTCAAGCATTTGAGTATCTCTACTTTAAATACAAAGCATGGTTTAAAGTTTCAAAGTAGAGTCATTTTTAAAAACGGCCTGGTACACGTAGGCAAAACCTTTGTGACATTGTGTGTTACATTCTATATTAAAAGTGATTTTTAGGTGACCACGATGCTATACTCACCCTGTTACTTATTCCACGGCTGATTCATAAAACTGAAATACTATTGGGGCAAATCAAGGACAAATTTGCACAAATTTCAAAGGTGGATAGAGCAACAATCTTGAAAGGACATTCATTTGAACAATATGCTTTCAGATGTAGGATGTCTTACTACATCTACACTCTTGAGGTTTGTGGCTGTATATTTTTCAATGTAATGTGTACAATTTTTTCACTGTTTATGAATTTCTCGGTTACGTAATTGAAAATATGACTGTCATCTATAGCAAGTGGAAGGTTGCTGATACCATATCATATTAAAATGCAAACTAGTCCACAGGATTGAGACTCATTCTAAACTTTACTGATGTTGATGTTTTGTTTTGTTTGAATAGAAATTAATCGATATTAAAATGGCATAGGATATCTTAACGACTCTCCTATTCTAGGCAATCTTGCACCAATATAATTTCTCATTGAACACCTGCAAACCAGAGACGCTTCTGAAAGTTGGCTCGAATTATCCAGAGATGGCAGCACAGGAGAAAATCATCGATGGATTTGTAGAGCTATTAAAACGTGATCAGTTAGATGAGAATGTGCCTACTGACTCTTTGGAAAAGTGTGTTGGTTATTTTAATAATCTATTTCCAGTACTTTTTGGTACAGAATGCAAACTGAATCAGACACAACTGCTTAGTGATTATGTTAAAGGTCTATTATCTGTAGTTGACGGATTTAACCTCGAAGCTACTGCTATTAGGTGCCTAATTGAGGTAAAGATCTTCAGTAACACAATATTTTATTGGCATCATAGGGAGTCACGCTACTTGTCATCATTAAACACATTGGGATATGAACTAACTTTTGTTTTATGATAGGGTGTGGAAATGATATAAAATGGAAATACTGGCTTGGTTCTGTCTGTCCAGAGGTGTGTGTTTCTGTAAAGACAGGATTGGGGGTTTCCCCATTGGGTTGGCACAAGGAATTTAAATAGATTAGAGGGAACCAAGAATGCAACAATACAACAAAAGTTTGGAAACAAATATTAACATTATTATGAACTATTTCTTATACCTAAATTAAAATTGTGAAAGAACATAATATGAATATTAAAGTCTACCTTTGTCTCCCGTACAAGGTTTATCTTATCAATGTTAAAATTTTCTGAAAATAAAAACGCATTTTTTTAAATACCACAGCTTTTGTAACGACAAAAGTATGGATACATCTCAGTTTTGCCATATTTATTCGTTCTGCGATACTCTGATATTGCGTGCGGTAAATATTAACGTCAGTAATAATAGCAGATTTTCAAAAGAATCGTAGAACAGGATGCTGAAACGCTTGGTGGATTTTGGGCTTTTTGGTAGGTGTCCAGTGCAACAGCCTCTCATTTAAAAAAAAATCGTATTGCTCGGCTTGAATTTGCTAAAATTCATCTAACTTGGACAGAACAATAACAATCGAATTCAGGCAGCATCGGTGGCCGCAGTGGCAGACTCTTCGGTCTCCTTATCAGTCACCGTGCGCTGCGCGGGTTTGAATCCCAGCCCAGAAGAAATTTTTCTCTTAGCTATGGATGTGATTGTCCGTACGTGGTAGACTGTCGAACGCGGAGGTACCACCCGGCGGATCTCGTAGGCGGGGCCATAATTTTGCACGATACCCCATGGGTGTTTAGCCCTTCGTGGTAGTTGGAGTATAAAAAATATAGTTTTATGGAGCGATGAAAGCAAATTTAACTTCTTTGGATCTGACGATACGGATATGAGGCGTCCAATACGAAAAAGATTCGACAAAAAGTATCAGTTGCCAATAGTTAATCTCGGTGGAGGCAACATCATCGTTTGGGGCTGTTTTTCCAGTTCTGGAACGGGTCCAATTGCTAAAACTGTTGGGAAAATGGATCAAAAACTTGACAAAGATATTCTTAGTGAACACATGCTCCCTTTTGCTGAAGAAGAAATTCCTTTACGATGCACATTCCACCAAGATCATGACCCCAAGCATACCTCAAAATTCGTAAAGGACTAGTTAAGGCAAAAAAATGTTAATGTCCTTACATGGCCTTCGCAATTCCTGGACCTAAACCCTAGAGAACATCTCTGGGAGCCTGTTAAAAGACAACGGACAAGAAAAATTTTTAAAAGTAGGAACGATTTATTTGATTATGTAAAAAGTATTTGGCAAAATATCCCAACTGGCATCTGTTAAAAATTGGTGTCTTCTGTGAGAAGCAGATGTCAGGCAGTGTTCAATGCCTAAAGGCTATGCTGACAAATATTAGCTCAACCATGTTTTTTAAATCTTTTTGTAGAGTTATACAATTTTGTAATAAAAAAATATGTTTCCATACTTTTGTCATCTCATTTTTGATCATACAATAATATGAAAGTATTTCAATGCTAGTATGTAGTACCACAGCAAACATAAATTGACATTTGTATCCTCAAGACTGTAAGTAAACTAAATGAGAAAAAATAGCACTCAATAATAAAAAATAAAAAATGTTCGCACTTTAAACATTTCTAAGAATGTTTCCAAACTTTTGTCCGCTACTGTATATGTTTACATTGCAGTTTGTCGGCAAAATTGCGTGGTTGTAGTGCATACTTTTGACTCATTTGTATACGAATGCTTACTAAGGTGACAGTATTGTATCAACATAATAATACTTACCAGTGGAAACATCTACCATCATTAGGCTTGCACTGCTATTTGCAAATTAAGTAAGAGGTTTTGAAATCGTCTAACACCACAATGATCTTCAAACAATCACACTTCTAAAAAATAACACTAAAGGTACGAATTTAATGGCAGAACTGTCAAAAAATTGACTTATGTCAGGTGCACTTTTAACCCCACTAGAGACTATGAGAATAAGGAGACAAACAAATCCTTGACTGGCCCCTTTCTACCTAGCCTGAATTCATTGGGTAGGCAATACCTAGCCAGTGTTATCCCTGACACTATGATGCTCGAGTTGTATATATAGTATTAATGGTAACATACTGTATGTATGATCAAATGGATTAACTAATCTATATTTATTCACGATAGTTATTGATTTTAGACAGCAAATGTAGGAGACATTGGCCTTTTGGCGCAACATGTCATGACTACAGCAGAACAACTGCACCCACAGTTGAAGTCGATCAAAAGAAAATTGCCGCCTGATGTGAATGCATCAAACTTAGGCTTCAATAGGGAAATATTCGAAAACATGTACCAGTGCTACCAACAGTCTGGAAAGATTGTTAAAACTCTGCATGACATCGTTAAAGGAACTGTACAGTCTTTGACCACAGATGGAGGTAATTGTCATATCAAGATTATTTTTGAGGATTCATAAGTTTTCTTCTTTGCAGATGTAGAAAAAGGCATAAGTCAAGACAAAATCAAAGATATCGCAATCAATTCTAGTGATAAAATATACGAACAAGATGATCTAGGCCCAGTGCAAAGTATTAAGAATTCTCTGACGCTTATTGTTAGTCAAATTTCGGATGTAGCCAAGTACCTGCAAGACAACGAATATGAAATAAGTATGGCTAATAAGAAAGAAGAAAAGGTAACACTACACAATATGCAGATTAACATACTAAAGGTCGTAAAAATGGAAACGCACAATCATACATCTCACCAATGAACTATACCCCATTAGTAGCCATTTATACCCAGACAAAACACAACATGCCCAAAAGCGAGATTGTACAGGCCCGTATTTTCTTCAATGGTCTTGGAATAATCCAACAAAATAAATGATTATTTTTATAGAAAGAAGTACACATACTTTTCACAATTCTTTATTCGCTGGAAGTACCTGAATCATCGTCCGAATGGTTAATATGAATTATTACAGGTTCAATTTGAATATCGATCATATTGTCCAGATCCCACATCTTTGATTCGATTGTGTCTTGAACATGACGGGTGCAATCTTTCCAATGGTTTACCGTCATTCTGTTGACTCATAAAACAAATTTTTCACGTCAGAAAATTTGAATGCTCTATTGTTTGAAGCCACATAGTTTTTTATATTTGTCCAAATATAATGGTATTTAATTTGCAGTAATAAGGGGTAGCCTTAAAACGGTCTTATTTTGGTTTTTCGCCATTTCGTCAATAACATTAAGATTATATTGATATTTTTGCTGCTTGACTGTTTTGACCATATTTTAATTGAAACTAATGTCTTTTGATAGCAAGCATTGTTGAATTTCTGCCTTTCTTGTGGACATTGTGGGAATTTTTTCTCTTTTTCTAGAGTGGTATGCCAGCATTATCAAGTACAATGACGGCATTGTCGTCAAGCTTTTGGAGCGTTCCTTCAAACCGTCGTTCAAATGAACTCCCATCCATTTCATCATGGTAGTCGGTCGTTCTCTTTGACTTAAATGCCCAAAGGGCAGTGGCCACAAAACCATCTTCACTGCCAATGTGACAGATAACAATTCCTTTTCCTGGAAATAACTCTTTCATATAGTATTTACGAAAACTTATAATAATACAAGCAGAGTATCTAACAGTTGTTGGTTCCTAATCTACGAGATATATCTAAGCTTAATGTAGCTAAGGCCCGTATCGTCAGTCGCCCCTACAATTGTAGGGCGGCTTTATGGCCTCCTTGATTTTCACAGTTTTATACTTCTCCGTGTCAGAACTCTATTTTGAGGTTATGTCACAAATATCTATTTGCATCAAATTGTGATTGCTTTTGAGTTATATCATGTTTTATCAGCCTGAAATTTCCTACAATTTAAAAAGAAAACGTATCTTCACAATAGGAGAGCACTGACGCTGACACGGGACAAGTGTAATCTAGAAATTTTTGAAGGAGTGAAAGGAGTATGACAATCAAGGAGGCCATAAACGGGCCCTACAATTGTAGGGACGACTGACGATACGGGCCTAAGTTTTAAGCATGGGCTCATAGATTCAGTCTACTTGGCACCATTTTTAGAACACAAATGACGAATTGGTTAGTTACACCTACCTGCCGGATTCTTTAGGCAAGTGGTAAGTCCATCTAAGAAGGCTTGTGTTGCTGATTTAATTGTAGAGTCAGCCCATACTTCAGGTTTTGTATGTCCTGCATTTATCCAGGTTTCATCCAAGGAATAAATCTTCCTGCCCTGGTCGCGGTACTTCTTTATTTATTTTAAATAATTTCTTCTCCATAAAATAATCTCTTGGCTGCCCATCAAAATACTATTTCTGCCCGATTTTCTATACTCAAAATGAAGTTCTTTGAGTAAACTATAGAATGTGGACCTTTTGAAAGGAGGTAAGTCTTCATCACTATTGACCTCCTGTAATACTTTGTCTGTGGTGGGAAGTTCCTGCCTTTCAAAAAATGGATGGACTTTTCGTCTGATGGCTTTTCGATCAAGGTTATCAACTGTATCCAATAGCTTTGTGTAATGCAGCCTCTTGTGTGGTGGAGATAATTTTTTGTTTTTTTATATTCAACAATGTTGAAAATTGTCTTAGGACGTAAGTCTGTTTTGTTCGCCACACGTCTTTCAATATTATGATTTTTCATTTCAGGATGCTCTAAAATTTCGTTCCTATAAACGTTAAGGACAATTTATTATTCCCGAATATTCAAATGTCCCTTCTTGTCACGTTTTCGGGGAGGAGACAACACTGAAGAGGAAGCATGGCTGAAGGAAGCATTGGGAGAAATATTCTGTTTCATCTTCTGTATCCGTAGACGACATGCTAACGTATAAACGCACGTTATGTAAGCACCGAATACGAACAGCAACTGCCGGCGACGGCGTGCCGGCGATACATCGAGCCCGAGTACTATCCTGTCTAATCCTGCAATTGTTCGTAGTTTTATTGCCGAATGACCAATAGGTATTGCAACGCTTAGGCGGCTGTCACTTTGCCGCGCTGCATCTTTGTTGTGGCGGAGCATAAATGGACTACGAATAGGGTATAGTTTATTAAAGTACTGTACATACATTTTTGTATATCCGCTATGGCAAAGACGATAATTGGACATTGAATTTAATGACCGGACATTAACGTGAACGCAGGCGCGGATTTTAGAATCTAAGTGGTTGGCTCGCGGTGGTGATCGCAGGATTCATCTTCAGGAAGATATTCTCTGGAGGGGTGGAGGTAGCATTACCGATGCTTGAAAATTGAAGAGCAGGAGGGGGGCTGTATGCTTAAGTAACGCTTTTGAGAGAAAATGATACCCTTGTGACAGTTGAAAGGCGGAGCGTGGGATCCGATTCAGGTTCAACAAGGCAATTTTCACACGTATACACCATTTTCTTGAAAAAATTGGCAGGCTTGTCCGCCTATGTGGGAGCGCGTGCCCTCCTCTAAATCCGCCAATGCGTGAATGACCACTCCGTGCGGGCAATGTTAATTGTCATTTTTACGTCTTTGCTCAGCCATTGACGATACAGACCAAGGTGTGCTGGGTAATATTGATATAAGGGCAGATTGTTGAAAAACACCCAGGACAAAACAAATACTATTAGAACGTGTATGTCAGACTTGACATCACAGTCTCACCTTATTTAATATCAGCAACACAGTTGTTATACTCCTCAACGTTTAAAAATTATTATATGTTTAGTCTGTTAGCAAAATGTGTACACTTACTAATTGAAACCCGTGGAAGGTTATGGGCATGGTTGTATCCGCGCAAATAGTATGTTCAAAAAGGTTGGATATATGAAAATATCTCGAAAAATACGCCCCTAGAGAAAAACGTTGTAGAGCAGAGTTTTACGATTTGATAAGATTCATCTAAAGATGATCTTTACGTGATCTTGACCATGGCCGTCAAGGTCAATTGAAGGTCAAGTTTGTTTTTTTAATGGAACCCTTGTTTTTGATACTGGAAATGATTGACCATGATATTCATGAGTATTAGAGGGTCTCCAGAAAATAACGAAAGGACAAAATATGTTATAAAGAAAAATGGTGTGTAATAAAGTTGTAAGGCTCAAAAAGATTCAACTAAAGGTGACCTTAAACGTGACCTTGACTTGACCAAGCTTATTTGAAGGTCAAGTCAGGTTTTCTTAAAATGAAACCTCAAGCATCAAAGGAGTAAGAAACTGTATGTTCAAGTAAGTCGATGGCCTAGACTATGAGTCAAGGTCATTTGAAGAACGAATAAATTTTTAACCGGAAACGTCTATTTTTGACTGCTGAAATGCAAGTTGCGGAGAACTTTAAGTTGAAAATATCCTTGCCAATGAACCTGACCATAACCTTCAAGTCATTTTAAGGTCAGAAAAATGTTCAAGGTGACTCCTTACTTTTTGTTGAGGATATAAAAAAACGAAACTTTGAAATTAATTTATTGTTGCATTAAAATGTTGGATCAAAAAATTCATTGTCAAGGTATCTATTGCATTTCTTTCTCCAATCTCCTTCACGTTAATCAAAAACGAATGACCTATACTTTACTTCCACGTGAGCGGAACCGCGGGTTTAGTCTAGTATACAATATAAAAAACATAACCATACCGTATCTACTACTTAATCTTACACTCCAATATACAAAGGGTACTATAAAAGTTTTGCAATGCAGCTTTATTTATTGATTTCGTACAAAGTAATTTCCACCACATTCAATTCCATCCGCCAAAACCAGTCCTTAGACGAGCTCTGCCAAGTTTCACCCTTATCTCTAGAAAACCGTTTTCCTTTTAGCTTCATTTTCACATGCGAAAACAGTGCAAAGCCGCAGGGAGCAAGATCTGGACTGTAATCAGGGTGCCCAATAAGTTCGGTTCAGTAGTGGGCAAACACTCGGTGCAGGCTTTAGCGCGGGGAGGTGGAGCATTGTCATGGTGGAGGTACCAAGTGTCCATTCTTCATTTCGGTCGCAGGTTTTTCATAGACTTTATGACTTTAGGTAAAGGTGTAAGGTCTCCTCTATCTGTTGGTATGTCCCTCTCCGGTCTTCGTCAAGTATTTTCCTCACAGCAGGAACGTTTTCAGCTGTTCCTGACGTTCGCGGCCTTGCTTTCCCTCTTAGCTTTCTCCAGAGTGAAATTGCTCCTTTGGAATTCTCTGTACCACCTGAATATAGTCGTACGCTGAGGACAATCATTCTTTAATGCAAGCGTCATTTCTTTTAAGCACTGGTCTATGCTTGAACTACGCGTAAAGTTATACCGTAAAACTGCCCTTATCTCACTACGTGACCACGATGCCGTAGTCCGCGCTGTACACTGTTATTACGAATGAACAACTAAATCTACACACGTGCTGCTGGGGGCTACTATGCACTCATATTGCAAAACTTTTATAGTACCCTTTGTATCTTCATTGGCGACTGATTATGTTAACAGCACTTTTGTATTATGTTTTTATGGACATGCTCAACTTGGATGGGTATTAACTTCACTGTTTGTATAAATAACGTTATAGCCCGGTTCATCATTATTGATTTTCAATATTGCCTATTTTCAAATAACTATCGATAATATAATCATAATAATATAAATTTGAAATATAGCCTGTACCACCAATCAATGTGCGTGCTGATACAGTGAAGAAGGAACTAGAACAGACAAAGACCCTTACCAGCAAACTGGAAAACAAAGAATCTGATATCAAGGAACTACGTAAGGTACTGAAGGAGAAACAAGAGCAACTTTCAGAGATGACAATCAGGAAAGAGCTGGCAGAAAAGAAACTAGGAAATGTTAACAAGGATTATGAATTGACTATAGAGAAACTGCAAAGAAAATTGGAAGAAGCACATAATAACTATAAAAAGAAAGAGAAGGAATTTGAGGAGACATTGGATCATTTACAAACTGATATCGATTCTTTGGAGAACGAGAAAGGCGAGATGAAAGAGAAATTGAAATTGTTGTCTAAGAAAGCGCAGATTGAAGTTTCTCTACCTAAGAGCATTTCAGGTAATTATACTATACTTTATTTTTCGTTATCATATATATCATTTATCCTTCATGAGCATTTTTTGCAGGGTCCCAGTTATCATCTCTACAATCAATTGGACCGACTTTGCCGGCTGTTGTCAAAGATTCGCCATTGCTAATGCAAGAGATTGATAATTTGAAAAGACTGTTCCACCAAGAAAGGAATGAGAGGATTAAACTCCAAAATCAGAAAGTTAAGGAGCAACTGGATACTTTAACGCCTTTACCATCTTTCAAAAATGATAGAGATGAAGTTCTTGAAAACTTGTTCAAAGAAGGTGCTACTTTGAAAAAGGTTTGTGGCTAGAATTTAGAATAAGCTTATAAATATATCATGCAAAATGAAATTGACATCGAAGTGCATTTTTTTACAATCTCGCTGCCACTGAACAGAATTTCATTTAACAGTAATTGGGAAATTATCCTTTGCTGCTTTTAAAATCCATTATAATCAAAACTCAAGTTACAGAGGGGTCAACCAATTCGAAAAGGTTATAAGGAGCCAAGCTTGTATGTTTACAATGCATTGTTTTGTCGCAAATATTGTGTAGTTTTAGCGCATACTTTTGGCTCATTTGTCTAACATTGCCTACCAAAGTGACAAGCCAATGCATCGGCGTACGTAAGTTTTCCTTAGTTCGTGATTTTGGAAGGTAAAACATACGAAAAATTATCTTCAGGAATGGTAGTATACCTGATGATGGATACTTGAATTCTACTCAGTTCGCCGGATTTGATTTTCAAGAAAACACAATTTCTTTTCGAATTAAGCGAGTATTTGTATTTCAACATGAAGAGCGATAGTTGCGATTAAACATGAAATAGGACAACCGGTAAATGGTCACCACGAAACCTCTGGCACAGATTCTGGATAACGTTTTCGCAGAACTGTGGCTCTATTTCGTCGATAATGCGCCGTATCTCTTCTTTAAGGCGTTCATCTGTTTGTGGCTTGTTCACATACACCTTTTCCTTCACATAGCCGCATAGGAAGAAGTCCATTGGCGTTAGATTGCACGATCTTGGTGGTCAATTTTGATCGCCAAACCGAGAGATGACACGGTCTGGAAACTTGGTCCGCGTAACACCATTATTTCGCGTGCTGTGTGACAGTGGGCACCGTCTTGTTGGAAGAACATATCCTCCACATCAATTCGATCTAACTGGGGCCACAAAAACTCGGTTAATATTTCGCGATACCGTACACCATCAACAGTTACCGCAGTTCCAACTGCATTTTCGAAGAAATGTGGTCCTCTCACTCCGCCACTCCACAATGCGCACCAAACGGTAACTCGCGGCGGATTCATTCGTTGTTCGATTATTACACGAGGGGTTTCACAAGCGCGAATTCGGCAGTTCTGCTTATTGACGTACCCGTTCAGTTGAAAATGTGCCTCAGAGAAAATGATTTTCTTTGAGAAATCCGCATCAATTTGGTGGGGCTCCAGCGCCCAATCAACGAATTCACGGCGCTACGCATGGTCTGTTGGCTTGAGTTCTTGAGTCAGTTGAACCTTGTACGCATGCAAGGACAAATCTTTCGACAGAATTCGTTGCAGAGTGGGTCGAGTAAGGTTCAGTTCTTGGCCACGATACCGAATGGAGGTGCTTGGATTCTCGGCCACACTTTCCCGCGCAGCGACTATATTTTCGAGCAGGACGTCGACGAACAGTGGTCTTGACATTCAGCAACGTGAATTTTGTCTCAAATTTTGTAATTTGCGAACTGTTTCCGCGTAATTTTCTCCATTTCTGTAGTGAGTTTTCACAATAATTGAACGATGCTCATTTAAATACTGCTCCATGACGTCTAATCGTATGGTCTGGACATGACAGCTGTCATCAAGTAAACTCTATTCCATTTGTACCAAAAAATGGGGGAAAATTCATATCCGGCGGTCTTTTTGAGACTCTCTTTAGTTGTGATCCGAGCTGATTCCTGGTTAAAAGCAAATAACTAGTTGAGTATAATATGGAAATTCCTGCCATTATATCATTGTGACTATATTTATCCGATAAAAAAAAAAATGTAAGTGATTCAATTACTTTGATATGGATAGTTTTTAGGGGCCTTCTAAGCTTCCTCACTAGAATCTCGTGGCCATAAAATAAGAACGTAAAATTAAAATTTATATAATATTATTACATAATAGTAATAATAATAATGAGCAGAGGAGAAATGGTGAAGAGCCAGAACATTAGGCTAAATGATGATACATCCATAAGTAAACTTAGACATAGGAGAATCGTACAAGTACCTTGGAGAAAGATGGGATTGATAATGCAAGATTGAAGAGCAGAGTAACTAAAGAGTACTAAAGAAGAGTTCGCCAAATCCTGAAGAGTTAAGCTCTAAAAATAAGTTTTCTGCTATCAACGCACTAGCTGTACCTGTGGTAACATATAGTTTTGGCATAATTGGATGGCTGAGATCAGACGTAGAGAAAATCGACCGGAAAACGCGAAATATCCTAACCATGGGCAAAATTCGTCATCCTAAAGCTGATGTTCAGAGGTTGTATATCAGAAGGCGTGAAGGCGGGAGAGGACTGATAAACTTCTGAAAGCTGTTAGGCATCATGATGAGAGAAGCTATGAACATCAAAGCTAAGTATCTCAACTCTGATGTGTCCGGTCAAAGCACAAAAGACATGATGCGCCATAACGCTGAAATCGAAAAAAAGCAAGTCTTGAGAAACAAGCCTCTGCACAATCAATTTTTCAGAAACCTCGATAAGCCAGCCATAGACAAACTGGCGAAAATGGCGTGGTTACGGAGCTCTGGACTAAAGGGCGAGACTGAGAGTCTTTTAGTTGCAGCACAAGACCAGGTACTAAAAACACGATATTATTCAAGAAACATCTTGATGCAGACAACAGACAGCAAGTGCAGAGTGTGTGGTCAGGCAGAAGAGCATATCAGTCACGTAATAGCAGGTACAGCGAGTACACGCACAGGCATAACAACGTCGCTAGCTATGTCCACTGGACCATCTGTAAAGATTTAGGGTTGCCTGCGGTTAGCAAGTACTACGAGCACGTCCCAGAAAGAGTACTAAGTCTTAATGACACCACTGTCATGTGGGACGTGCCTATTATCACGGATCGAACAATCCGAGCAAATCAACCTGATATTGTGATTCACAACAAACAACAAAAGACCTGCCTTCTGCTGGATATGACTCAAACGTGCTGCTGAAAGAATCTGAGAAGACCTCCAAATATAAAGACCTAGAGATAGAGATCAGTAGAATGTGGCATGTTATAGCTAAAACTAAAGTGGGCGCCGTAGTAACAATTAAAATAGGTCTAAACAACTACCTTCAAATGTTACCAGACCGGCCCAGGGAAATTGAAATCCAAAAGATTGCATTGTTGGGTAACGCACATATCCTGCTAGGGTAAATATCTCGGAACTCCTGTCGAGCTCCGTGTTTACACCTGAAAACCGTCCAAAGACGAGAGGAAAAAAGAACACCAATAATAATGTTTATTTGTCTAACTACAAAGTTTTCAATAATATATAGTACTCGAAATTAAAGTTTCAGTTGGGCCGTGACTTTAAAATTTGCATGTTTAGCATGATTTTGTGTGTAATTTTCAGGAGTTTTAGGATTTGGACTATCCTCCCTGCTCTTCAAAAAATGTTAGGGGCAGGTACACTTGCACAAAAGTGATCTGTGGCGGATGATCGGCTCCCCTGAGACAAAATCAATCTATCAAAAAAAATAGTTTGTCTCCAATATTTTTAATTTTTCAATGTTGTTGTTAGGTATACAATGCTGTTAACAAACTCTAGATTCAGACTGAGTATCCGAAAAAAACAAGATGTGGAATGAAATTAATCAAAAGTACCTTACTAGTAAAAGCCTGGTACCTGCACTTTCGCAACCCCGATGACTAATATATTAATATCGGGTTCTCCAATAGGGACTTGACAACTCTGAACTTTCACTGTGAACTCACCTTTAAATCAATTACCGATCTTTCAATGTCAAAACATTCAGTAAAGAAAACATTTTCATCATGGTGAACGTACATGAACGGACAACGCTTACAAATAATTAAAATTTACTACCGAAATTCCGAGTCGGTGTAGACAAGTAATTCATAATCTAGTAAACAAATTTGAGACCACATATTTGCTGCTAGATGTTCCTGTGCCGGTGAAACAACGGGTTGGTCGAAGTGCCAAGAATATTGCCGCCGTTCAAGCTTCCGTCGCAAACGAACAGAACACGGCGTTCTCAAGAATTGGATATCGCTCAGACCACACTAAGGCGAATTGTGCGAAGAGATCTTGGCCTGCACCCTTATAAGATCAAGTTAACTCAAGAACTAAAGCCGACACACATTCTCGAATTGGGTTCTAGAAAATGTGCAAGAAAATGACAATTGCATCACAAAATCATCTTCAGTGATGAGGCGCATTTTTGGCTAAACGGCTTCGTCAACAAACAGAATATGCATTATTCGTCAGGTGAAAACCCTCATGTGCTTCAAGGAGCACCACTTCATCCACAAAAAATAACTGTATGGTGTGGTTTTCATGTCGGTGGTGCCATTGGGCCGTTTTTTTTTTTTCGTTTTTCGTTGTTGAAAATGATCGTCACGTTACAGTCAACGAAGACGCTACAGAGACATCAATGATGTATGGTTTCAACAAGACGCTGCCACAAGCCACACAGCGGGTGAAACAATCGACATATTGAAATCAAAATTCGGTGAACGTGTTATATTGAGAAATGGTCCTGTCGAATGGCCACCTAGATCGTGTGATTTAACACCTCTAGACTTTTTTGTGGGGCTAGATTAAATCATTGGTCTATGCCAACAAACCGGCCTCGTTAGAGGAGCTCAGAGCCAATATTGAACGAGGGATAGCGGCCGTTTATGTCGAATTGTGTGGCCGGGTCATTGAAAATTGGGTTCAACGAATCGATCGCTGTGAACGTGCCCCTGGCGGACAAATAAACGAGGTCAAATTCCAAACATAAATGTTTTGAGTATACTTTAATCCAATAATAAAATTTTCGAGATATCTCAAATGGTTTGCGTTTTATTTAAAAAGAAAGTTGTCAAGTCCTTAATGGAAATCCTTTACTTATCAATCAATTATTCAGTTTAAACGGGTTTTTACATTCCACAGGAACCTTCACCATGAATTAGTTAACATTTGAAAAAATCGTATGAAAAAAGCATTTGACATATTTTAAAAATTGTTTATTCACAAGAAAGCTAATTAATTGGAATTCATTTCTTGAAAATTATATCATCTAAATGACCACCGATTTTTGCACTCTTCTAAACGTGTACCGAAGTTTTCGAATACTCGCCGGCATAAAGACTGCGAGATCGCCGCAATCTCTTCGTTGATTTTTTCTTTTAGTTGACGGTGTGTACTTGGTTTATTGATGTAGACACGACTCTTTAAATAACCCCATAAAAAAGTCTGGTGGGGATAGATCTGGACTTCTGGGTGGCCATGGGATGTCGCCTCGTCTGGAAATGAACTTTTCCTGAAACATGTCTTTGACCACCGGCGGGGACTCGTTGGATGTGTGATACGTGGCTCCATCTTGTTGAAACCATGTGTTACGATTATAGCCAGCAAATTAAAGTAGCATCGGTGCCAAGAACTCCCGTAACATTTTCACATACTCAGCAGAATTAACAGTAACTGAATGGCCGCGAGAATCTTCAAAGAAGTAGGGGTCAATGATTCCTTTTGCTGAAATTGCAGCCCATACAGTTACTTTAAGAAAGTAAAGTGGCTTCTCGTGTTTGTACCTGCAATTCTGTTTATTCACATGTCCGTTGAGGTGAAAATGGGCTTCGTCAGAAAATAGATTGTCAAAATTACTGAATCGAGCATAACGACTTGCGCAAATTTAAACCATTAGGTTTTAGTTCCTGGATCTTATATGGACGTAATTTCAAATCTAATCTCAAAATACGGCGTAATGATGTGCGGGATAATCCTAATTCAGCCGAACGTTTGCGCGTCGATAAATATGGATGACGTTGAACGAAAGCGGAAACTTGCTGCACGTTCTCTTCGCTCTGAGCATTCGGTGGGCCGCCGGTTTGCTTCACATTCAGTGTAGATCCCGTCTCTTTGAACTTCTTCACCCATTTATTTATCAAATGAGCAGTCGGACACTGACTTAAGTCGTGTAAATTGTATTCCACGCGAAATAAGCGTCTCACAGTAATGAGCGAACTGTTCTTTAAATAAAATTGTTTCACATAATAAGCGCGTTGCGGTACCGTGAAGCGATCCATTGCGACTGAATTTCCGAGAAACGAGCTAGAGACTAGCCCCCTCCCCGCGCTTCGCGAGGCATCTGTTTGCGTGGTGTATTAGATTTAAATGTTAACGAATTCTTGGCCCACCCTGTATTTTCGCAGAAAACAAAGAATTTCATGTGAAATGTCAACAACTGTCAAACTGGCGATAAGCCTGATCGACTTGTAGTATGAATTTACATCCTGAGTACTACTCACTACATAATTTTAGTGACAAACAAATCATTGACTTGCTCCTGCCTAGTCGGAATTCGTTTGGGCCAACTGTGGTCAAAATACCGTATAGACTTGTATCTTGGAAGTTCTTTTCGGTACTTCCTGACAAAGAATTAAGTTAACCTCATTTTGCAGGAAATACTGTCGGCATTAACGAAATCATCCTTCCCGCCAATGTACAAAGTCAAGCCTGGAAACGGTGCTGAGGCTTGGAGACGTCACTTCTTAGAAGAAAGAGATAGGATATTGAGTTTGAAGCTGAAGGCAGTACAGTTTCAAGCTAAAGTAGCCGCCGAAACTATTAAGAGGAAGCGTGGTGGAAAAATTGAGGCTGACTTCACCATATTTCCCACTAAGGAAATGGCAAAAGTACGTTGAAATTTGACGCGATCTAGATAATAGTTTCTCTCATTGTAGTAAGAGGGCCAAATTAAAAACCAGCACATAATTTTTTAGGCTCTACTTTCGTACTTTGTTGTAGTGTTGTAGACCAACAAACGAACAAGTGGGAGGTGCAAAAAAACAATATTTTAAGTCAACAGTTGATTGACATATTACCCATTTTGTTAATTATAGAATAATTATAATATTTATTAGTAATGAAGTGGAGGCTACGATTTTACGATTGCTGTGTAACATATTTTATATTTTCTAGGCGCTGACTGAAACTAAATCAGTGAAGGTTGGATATCTAAAGATTCCAAAGTCTTGCTTGCCAACTAATGAAAAACCTAGGATTGTCAACCTAGAGCTGGACTTTGAAAATCTACAGAAGATCTTGAAAACGCTTTTACAATAATTAGCACAGGTGCATTTTTCATTGAATTGCACAGAATAAAAGAATATACTTAACTATTAAGATTTATATATTGTTTTTTTTATTAAATTATTAAGAATTGTAGATTGTAAAGATTGGTCATAATTCTGAAAAACTTGGATTTTATCGTTTTTCCTGTTTATATTTTGCTTTTTATGTACTGGGTATCCAGGATAAAATTTCCCTTTTTAAAGGCTAATAAAAAATTGTCTTGAAGTTTTAAAATTAATTTATTGAAGCAAAAATACACAATATAGACGGATTTCATGTTTTAAAAATTATATTGTCGTGGTGCGTTCCATTTCGGTCGAAGCACTCTTGCATTGCCGTCTTCATTAATTAAAAACTGCTAAACATAATTCAGGTGTATTTGTTGTTTTAATGCTCGCAAAGTCCTATGCGCCGTTTAACATAAATTGTACTTTTAAGGTATCCCCACAAAAAAGTCTAATGGGGTAAGATCTGGAGACCTAGCTGGCCAGTTAGCGAGAGATGCCATTTTCCAGAAATAATTCTCGAACGACTTCCATAGATGTTCGGGCTGTATGTGCGGTAGCGCCGTCTTGTTGAAACCATGTTCCTTGATCAAAGCCATTAAATTCCTGTAGCTGAGGTACCAAAACCTTCAAAGCATTGCACAATAATGATCACTAGTGACAGTCTGGGCTATGCTACGTTGGTGCTCAAAAATAAATACCTGAAGCCAACATCGCACACCACACAGTTACTTTTGGGCTATGTAGGGGCCATTCGTGCTTTTGCCCTGGATAATCTGGTGCCCAACAGCGACGATTTTTCTTATTAACTGTGCCTAAAAGGTGAAACTGCGCCTCGCCACTGAACAGAATGTTGTTAATTCGGTCGTTTGCAAAAAAACGGTTTATCATTGTTTCGGCGAATGAAAGTCATTTGGGTTTAATTCTTGCGCTATTTGGATCTTTTAGGGATGAAGCTTTAAAATCTCTCATTAAAATTGTATGAAAAGATGATTTAAGCAATCCCACCGCCTGTGATGTTTTACGAACAGTCACTTGGATTTTGAACTATAGCGGTGCGTACAGCTTTAAGCATTCTCAGGAGTAGTTGCAGTCCTTGGACGATCAGGGCGTTTGACATTTAAAGTTGACGATGTTTCTCTAACCCTCTCCACCCACGATTTCACTAAATTTTTACTAGGTGCGTCTCGCAATTAGGAAGTTTCCTACAGTCGAAAATACTGCCTGTGTTACTTGCATCTGATAATATAACTAGTATCTTTCACATATCTGAAATAATTATTCCAATAACTTAGTATTTATACACCTGGGTACAATAAAATATTTGTAGGTTGAAGGTTTGACTCACTTTTTACTCATTTTTAATAATAGGGGGAAGCGTGTGTGGCGCGGCGGCCGCATCTCCTTGCAGTGGAGCTGGGCTGATGAGTTTCCGTCATGTGACGTCATCACTCACTCGCACGACCCACCACACTTCTGACTAGCGTAACTTTCTTACTTTTCAAGATATTAAAAAAAAATTCAGCTCTGTAATTCATTTTACTTAGACTATCACTTTGAGTGTCTTTTCAAAAATAGGAAACTTCCTCATTGTATTCGTATACGAGTCATTGTTCTTGAAATATGCCACAATAATGAACGCACGATCCGTACCATACCGACGCTCCCTGTCTACTAAATAATCCGCAACAGATCAAATTACTGTTCAAAAGAATATTTTGAACATCAAAAAAGAATAAATCTACGATCGGTACCGCTGCTGACGCTGTTTAGCGAACTGCTTATCACGCGCTTCGAAATATACGCCCATGCTGGTGTAGTGTGTAGATTACTGGAATCCTAAGATTGGCAGTAGACTCAAATGCCATAACAATAAACTCACGATTATAGTTTTTTATTTCGTTTGTCCAAACCGCAAATATGGTTCAAAACGCCCCTTTTGCATGAATGAGGTACTGGATTTTCATCGCAGGTGGTGGTGGGAGTGGTGAGCTGGAGCGTTGTCATGGTTGAGGTGCCAAAAGTGTCCATTCTTGACTTTGGCGGTAGGTTTTTCATAGAGTCTATGACTTTAGGCAGGCACTGTTCCGTGTATCACTTAACTGTGACTGTCTTCAGTGTGTCCAAAAAGGACACGCTCCGTAATCCTGCTCGATTTGGAAAATACAGCTATCATTTTTTTGTCAACAGATCGGGATTTTCTGACAGCTTCCGGTGTGTCCTCATCATCAAAGATCCAAACTTTGTTTTGAGCCTTGGTCAGCACATCGTAATAATGGAACGAAGTCTCGTCACCCGTCACGATGCTGTTCACATACAGAGATTGCCCCTTTTATCAAACATTTTTAGCATCTTTCGGCGCCAAGTCGTACGACGAGTCTTCTGCTCTTCCGTCAGACGTTACCCAGAGAGAACAAAGTTTCCTTACATGTAAGTGGTCATGCAGAATTGAATGAATTGCTGGTGCATGAAGGTGTAAGGTCTCCTCTATCTGCTGGTGTGACTCGCCCGTCTTCGTCAAGCATTTTACTGACAGCAGTAATGTTTATCTCTGTTATTGACGTTCGCGGTCCCTCTCGGCGTCCTCCAGACTGAAATCGCCCCTTTGTAAGTACTATCTGTATCACCGAAATATAGTCGTACGATGAGGGCAATCATTCTTTAATGCAAGCGTCATTTCTTCGAAGCACTGGTGTATCCTTATCTCACTACGTGACCACGATACCATAGTCCCCACTTTATACTGTTAATACGAATGAACAACTAAATCAACAGACGTGCTGCTGGCGGCTACTATGCACTCATGGACATGTCTCAACATACAGTCTCTTGCGTCCATTTGTTAAGTCATATTGCAAAACTTTTAGTCCCCTTGTCCTTTGTATATCTTAAATCCTAAACGATTAAAAAGAGATTTCCGTGTTTTGTATATTTCTTTAGAACACCTTTTACTTCAACAATCTGGCAACGTCTAATCTAGGTCAACTACACTTGTTCTATGATGTTTCTCTCTCGTTGTTCTGTGTCAGATGCGCAGCGCGAAAAAATTTCAATGTCAAACTAATCAGCTGGAGATTGTGGTTGGTGATGTGTGGAGTGTGATGAGATATACAAGACATTTTTTTTCTGTTCTAGAAGGTTTTTGCCTTATTATGCATATGTGAAATAACTTTAGCTTTAAAGGTGGTGATTAAAACTGTGTACTCTCGGTATATGTTGTTTTGTAAAGAACTGTTCAGGTAAGTTTCACAACGGATTTTTATTTACAGGCGTAAGCGCCTAAAGTCTACCGATTTATGGGGAATAGCCCAAAAATGATTATTTTGGCTTTCCCATTGCTTACCTTCTGTGTGACGCATTTGTTATCAATGATCTCGTTTACATGCCTTTGGTGAATCAGCCTGGTGCAAGTATATTTACTGTTTGTATTGGAAAAAATATGTTGTCATAGATACAGGGCATACTATAATTGAAAACAACCGTTTATATTTCATAACTAAATTATTATTGGTTGATTGTGATTCAAATGCCTGTTATGTTGTATTAAAAGAATCGAATTTGATCCCAGCAGCAAGTTTTGATGATTTTGTAGGTTTGAAAACCAGTTCCTTATATACTATATAAATGTATTGATTATGTTAATATTTTGTCACATTTCATTTGAATCTGCTTTATGATGATTATGTCTAGATATATAAAACATCCTTGAGCCATGAACATCATTATCCTTTAAGAGGCATCATTCATTTTTATTCAATCACTATTTACGTCATTCATTATAATCCAAGAAATCATATAGGGTGGATGTGCTAGTGGTTGGACAGTTTAGACAAAAATGGAATACAAAGTGTAATTATGAATTTTGAATTCAAACTAATGTTTTTGAAGGTGGACATATATATTGTTAACTTTTGGCCAACAACAAAAACATTGCTCAAAGATATTCCTGTTATTTTATTAAAAAAAATAAAAATCAATAAGGTGCTATTTTGCCAGAACTCGGACAGAAGGTGCTGCTAGGCAACTGGCTAGTAGCCAATTGTTGGACATCATTTGATTGGGTAGATTTAGACAACTGTATTCAAAAATGTGTGATAGTAGAATAGAAATTTCAAACCAGTTATGTAGTGAGACAAGGAGGAAAATGAATTAAACACATTCATACTGAATCTTCTTAATATACATATTTTTATCGAAAATAACATGATCGACAAAAAAAATTAATAAGAAACTAATTTCTCCTTCAATCTTTTTCTTTTATTTGATCCTGCACTGTTGACATTGAACAACTATACTGTTTACATATTTCAGGCAATTTCCCAACATTTCTTACAGATTTGACTGCCCCCTTTAAAGCCCTTCACTGTATATATGGAATTTATTTTTTCTTGGTATCCACTTTTAAGTGAAGTGAAAATGTGTAATTTTATTTCATAGTCCCGAGAAAAAATGGCGGGAAAATGGAAGTGGCCAGTAATTAGGATGTTATGAAATTTCTTTCATTCCAGTAGTCGGACACAATATCACTGTCATTAATCTACTTTATGTGTTATCTTATGCTGTCTGTGCACTGGCTGGGGCTTTAGTCATATTTTGGTTTGTTTAATAATATTCATTATTAAAGTTTAATAGTTTTATAGTTTCTATGGTTAGATAGAAAAGGATAGATTGATAACAACCACACCATTCCAGTAGTCAGACTGTTGTCTAACTATTAGATTTTGACTAGTGTGATGATCCTGGCAGTGGCCACTGCAGTTTGACTTTAAAGTATTGAAAAAACATATTAAGATAAATTTACTTAGTAATTCTTGAATGTCTCCTGCATATATAGCAAAAACATAATAGGCCAATAGATGTTTGGATATAATTTTTTTTTAAACTGTCACCAATTAATTGATACATCTGGTACCAATTGCCAGCAAGTATAGGATTTCAAAAACTATTCAAGTTTAGTATGTTATGACAACTGTTCAAAAAGCCTCCATACTAACCATGTGCAAACTGTTATATATATACGTATATATATATATAACATTTTGCACATGGTTAATATGCTGTGTAAAGCTAATATAGCATATATGCTTTACACACAGTGCAGCCCTGAAACTTTTTGGACTAGTGTTTGTACATGCTATAGATTTTATATTTTGTACCCACGGGTCCTGAAATTAACAATTTAGACATTGGTGACACATGCATCTGACAAGAAAGTGCTGGTGTCACCTCATACATCATTAACAATTATCCTCAAAACATCTTTTCTGTTGTTTTGTTATTTTGAATTTATTTAAACTCATTGTAAAAGTATCTTGGTTGCATCTATAAGTTTTGTACGCTACAGATTCATTTTGTGTTTGCTTACAGCTCTTTTATTTAGAAAAGTTCATTTGCATACAAAAAACAAAACGCCACAAACAAGTTTGACTAGATTTATACCGGATTCATTATTGCTAACATTGCAGTTTAACACAAAAATTTCACTTGCTGATCAGCTGTTCACCTCAGTAGACGTCAAAGCATGATGGATAGGTACTCATGAAATAGGGTATACTCTCAGGTAACATTGGTACAATCACTACATGATCTGTGACCCAAACAGCTTATAGAGCAGGACTGACCTCAGGGGATATGCCCTGAACAAACAAAAACCTTTCATTGGATTTTTTCAACTAGTAGTTTTCAAGCTAAAAAAAAGAGAATGTTATATGCATCGCATTAAAAAAAAAGATCAAAACAATAAGGGTACTACAGTCAAAAACAGAGTGTGTGATTTCATACTAATTTTTCTGATATACCTACCTTAAGGTGACCAGTAACTTGTAAAACATACAAAAACAAAATATAGGTTTTCAAAAATTGTTCACACCACTAAACATTTTTTGACTATGCCTAGAACGATCATATTGCGCGTATCTCCGATACTGCTGTACCAGCTCTCAAAAATGAAGAATGTAACACCTTCTGTGACCCCGCATATCACCTTCTACATCTTATCAAAATCACTGAAGCCATTTCCGAGATTTCACGATTACAAAAGGTCAGGCTGACCGACTGAAAAGTGTGAATATTGGTGATACTGTCATCCACTAACATCTTATAACATTATCTGAAATTCGAGAATTTTCGCGAGTACCTAGTATATTTCCTTGTTTCCTTCACTTCTATTCCCGGAAAGTACCATTTATTATAATCAAATGGTAAATCATAATATATAGACGTATGCCATACTTATAGAACCTATGTCTGTAAGGTGTAAGAGGGGTTAAAAATCGTAATCATGCCTCTAAAATTGGTCGATTGTCGCGGATGTGCGCCTATGTGTTATTAAGGCGAAGGTTAGGAGCGGCGGTTGGTGTATGGCACGCGCCTGATAAAGGTGAAAACCGTGGAGAAACAGGAAGATGGAACACCTGGCGTGCGGCAGATGCCGATGCGCCCTTATGGTTCATTGTTATAGGAAGTGTAAGGGGGAGGTGACTGAAGGTCGAACAAAATATACGAAAATAATAATGGATCAGTCATTTCAAAAAAAAAAATTTCAAGAGACAGTGAAAACTGTGACATTCAAAATAAACCTAGTTTTAAAGATTTTTTGGATTAACTTAGTATTTGAGTTTTTAAAGATTGAAATGTCAAATAACATTCAAAGTGTATTAATAATATTGGAAAAATCCTGAAAAATAGTTGTTGTTTTAGCAAGTAATAGGGTTTGTGGTATATTGAAAATTATACAAAAATATTGACTTACTGACATGTCACATTTACTTTTGCATGCTTTAATATCTTTAGGATATATAAGGGAAATCTGGGCAAAGCCAAAATCCCGGTGGTGGGGGGGGGAGAAAGTATCGTAAATTGAAGAGCGGGAGAGGGGTCGTATGCATCAGAGCTTCTTAGTGCGAATGTCCTTGTGACAATTGAAGAGTGGGAGACACATTATCCATTGCCATTGCGTCGTCTCCAAAATTACAAAATTAATTTCACGCCCCCTAATTTCCTTTTGGCTCTTTACGTATATTTGAAGGTCTTTCTCTGTCATAAAAATGAGGAGGAGGTTTTGGTGGGAAACGAGAGAACCCCTAAATAGTGGATAAGTCGGAAAAGCAGACAAGGCAAAGCTGTAACCTTATATTTTTGAAGTTTGTGATTGGTATTTTAGTATGTATATAGTGTATCTCAAGGATACTGGTACTGTTTTCTATATAAGGATAGTTCTTGAACGCAGTAGAATAAAATACTGTTCCTGGGGAACGATTACATGATAGCTGTTAACATTTTTTAGACACGTTTGTAAATGAATCCATTTTGGTCACAGTAATATGTTCCATGATTCTTATCACGTTCATCATAAAGTAAACTTTGTCACTGATGGATGACGGCGACTCTTTTTGCAATAATTATTCTACTCCCTTATTCCAAGAATTAACTCCCAGGAATATGCAAGGAAAACGTGGCAAGTGGTTGGATGTTGCACATGTGCAGTGACATTAGAAATGTTACACCCAGAAAAAATAATTTATTCAACTTGATTTTTTGGCAATGAGGTAGTCTTACATCAAGAATGAAACGATAACATTCTCACGAAATTTTATTGACAAGGAATAAGAAAAAAAATATTGTGTTGGGTGACCCCGCAGCTGAATACACTCCAGTATACGTCTAGGCATCGACAAAATGAAATGATCGATGTCTGATTGTGGCACCTCATTCCAAGCAACTCGAACTTCGTGAATTATCTGTTGCGGATGGTGCGAAGTGGATAGTGTCATCCCCATCATATTACACATATGTTCGATGGGATTTAAATCTGGGAACGGGGTGGCCATGGCAAAACATTAGCATATAGGCAATAGCCCCCCAAACCATTACTCCAACAAACCTGTGTACCTGCCTCTCAGCAGTAAATCCAATATCACGCCGTTCTCCACGGCGGCGTCTTACCCGTCTACGACCATCGTGCATACCTAGACAGAACCGCGGTTCGTCGCTGAATATGACAATGTTGCCGTTCTCTGCTGCAGTTCAAATGTTGACGACAGTGGTCCGCAGTCAGAAGAAGCACTAACCGTGGACGCAGTGGCTTAGCTACCTTGGGTGATACTCGGTGCGGAAGTTGCTGGTGTCACCCAATCGAAAGTCAAAAGCAATACATTTTATATAATTGATAAACGTCATGGATCATTTAATATTTCTATTTAAAATATTGAACAAAAAACAATAAAATCTAAGACAGAAA